AGCGCCTTCTTTGCTTTGTTTTTTACTCTTAAGACTTGCCTTCGGGAATCTGAGGTCCCTCAGATGCTTAGGAAAGTGTGGCACAAGGCAGACTTGTCCCTGGTGGAGGAGGAACCGGTTAGGAACACATAAACAAATTGGACATGAGTTCAGAGGACTTGCTAGGAGGCCCTCATGTGCTGAGGGAGCTGACTGATGTCATTGTGAGGCTACTCTTGTAATCTTTGAAAGGTCATGGTGATAAGGGTAGCTTCCTGAGGAGTGGAAGAAAAAACGTCACTCAAGGGCAAGGAGGATGCAGAGAGCTGCAGGCTGGTCAACCTCACATCAGTCCTTGGAAAGGTGATGGAGCAGATAATCCTAGAAACCATTTCCAAACACAGAATGGATAAGAAGGTGATTGGAAGTAGTCAGCCTGGATTTATGAAGGAGACACAATTTCTCACCATCTTGCTGTATTCTACCTCCCTTTGAGCAGGTATATTGGACTAGATGGTCACGACGGATCCCTTCCAGTGCTAACTCTTGTATGATACTAGGACACACTTACACAGACTGCACTGGATCCTTGTGTCTGAAATAGATGAGGCAGGAGTCTGGGTGTTCTGCATCCACGAGGTGCATATGCTTCTTGGTCACTCAGAGGACAGTCCACACAGTGGAGACCGAGAGGTTACTTCGTGTTGTATAGCATGGACTGGAAGACATAACTCGTGCAGATGGCCTGCTTTGTGTGAAGTCCATGCTTGCCTCCTCATGTAGGCTTTTGCTCTTGCAATGTTGAGTTTTGCTGAAAGAACAGAGATGTGGTTGGTTCTACTTTCAGGTAATGGGGCATGTTAAGCTCTTGAAGCAAAAGGAGACAGTGTGCCTTGGGGAATTCATTATTGTTCATCTGGTTTTCTTTAGTTTAAAATTAGAGTATCAAAGGTAATTCCACTAGTAGTGCTTGAAATGTGGGAGCCTAAACAATTGCAGAGAGCAAATGGTGGGTCTGAGAAATGCCCTAAGATGATGATTAGTCACAGTGGTAGAAGCTGGTTGGTAACAAGTACGTTTAGCTGTAGATAAATCCAGTGGAGAATTATTTCTGCTGGGTTACAAGTTATGTTTCTGTTAATTGCACAGCACTGACTTAATTTTCATGCTGAGAGTAACCTTAAACACTGCCTTAAGTAACAGAGTGTACTTCAGAACCAAAGTCACAGAATCATACCTGTCTTCTGAGCCATCCTTCTCATAGAAACTCACGTGGCAGATCATATAATTTGATAGTACTTTCATTCAATAGTTCCAAGTAAAATTTCCTAGCTTGTAAGTATTAGTGCTTAAGAAATCTTTCATTTAACCATGTTGGCTGGATGTTCTTGAGCAGTAGTAGTTGTTCAGCTCTATAAAACTCTTTTGTGTAATTCTGATTTTGCAGTTGCTTAGAAAAATAGGTGAAGGGCTAACTAAATCAGCTGGCAGAGTGAGCGTGTTGGTCCAATACTCTGACCAGGTGGTTCTAGATATTTCACATGAGGAGGCCTTCATGCTTTAGTACCAAACCTACTTTGTTGAAGGTATTTGTTGTTATGTGGGATTATGATTTAGAAAAGTGATACAGCAATATGCTGAAATCACAACACCAGCACAATATAGCAATTGTACATACAGTTGGGTGACAGTACGAACACCGTTGCCTGTACTGATCTCTACAGCATGCTCATCGTCACCGTGCTGGGTGATCCCAGTTGCCTGGAAGGAACACATGGGTTGAAGACAGCTCAAGCCTCTTGCTCTCCTTGAACACCCAGCAAAATCAAGTTTAATTTTTATATCTTTTACACACACACATATCCATCCCCATGTTGGTGTGACGGGCTCAGGAAGATGATATTTTCTATTGATTCTTTTAGGGAAGGCCATTTACATGACCAGTTGACCCACTCGACTAACACAGTTTGTTTACAGCAAAGGCCTTCTCTGGTCCCCTTGGTGTTGAGATCAGTTCAGCTTCTTTGGTGACAGCTGTGGTCACTTCCTACATTATTTGCTGAGCTTCATGAGCACACCATCCTTGCCTAGCTTCTCTGAGCTTCTTCCGTTGAAGGGATTCACTGACCAGTCACAGAATGAAAGTGTGGCTTTAAAAGGCCAAATGTTGCAGGTTTTATTTATTTCAAGTGTGCTACATATTAACAAATATGCCATTCAAAGAAAAGAAAAAGCCCACAAACCTAAGCTCCTGCATCTTCACTTAGCCTTCACAAGGGTATATGTTTTTGCTTTGCCGACATTTTTTTTTGGCTGCTTTTTTCCCATTATCTCAAGTGTCATTGTTACTTGAGAACATGTGGGTGTTGTCCTCTGTTTTAAGCTCCCAATTGGTTTCTCAACCTTGAATTAACTGATAACTCACCTAAACTAGATGAGTGCACTGAAAGGAAGAAATCAATTCTGTAGTCAGTCAGCTTTTAGAACTTCCCTGGAAGTTTAATATTCACATGATGTTAATGGCTTTAGGATGGTGTGGGTTCATTGCAATTTATTAACTTGTGGAATAATTATTCTAAGAAGTGAATTTTTAAATAAAATAGACTTCTTAAGATTTGTATTTAACAACACCGGGTCAGTGATGACAAAGTAAGCCAAAAGCCTCCAGTAAAACTGTTGGTATTTGTTTGACTATCACAAATTGTAGAGTTCGAACAGAATCTCACAAATAATAAAACCTGATTTTTGCATAGAGTAAAACACACTAGTTGTCTCAGCATACTTTCCTATTTATACCATGAAGTTCTTTTTCTGGTATATCTAAACTTCAGTGTACCTCTGTTGGTTTATAGGAGATCATTTGGGTGTTTTCTTCCCTCTTGCCTGACTAGGTATGGTAGAGAAATGAGGAGAATTCTCCTGCATTATTTTAGCAGTCTTGGGTTGGGAATGAAATGTGCTCATTGATGCCAACTGTGAAGATCTGATTTCTGCAGAGGCTTGTCTTGTCCTTTTTCTGCCAGCACAGATGAGGCTTTTTCTGCCTCTGCTGAAGTGGGAGAATTGTCTTACCCGAGTGTCCTCTTTCCTGTGCTCATGAGCCACTTGCCCCAGTTAAATGTGGTGGACCATGTGAGGGAAGGAGATCCTCACAGATGCCTGTGCATCAGGTGGAAATTGGCAACAGCTGAACTTTTTGAGCTGCATTACAGAGAACATGCTAAACCTTTTATAGAGTTAGCAGATCAGAGCTATGTTTGGCGTTGGCACTATCTTTTATTTACCGTTCATCATTTAACAGCCGAGCTTTGCAAGCTCCCTGTTTTCCTTTGTTCTTGTCCCTCTCCATGCTCCGGAGTGTATCTGTAGTATCTACAGTAGAGTTTTATATGAAGGTTAATTGCTAGTGTGCTTACATCATCACTAAGCTACTGATTTTCTCTGTTGTATCTGTTTGAACTACTGGCTAGTTTAATCTCTAATACGATAGAGAAAATAACGGGCAGTAGGTTCCTGTTGTTCAGGCTGTAACACACAGTTTGTGTATGTTGTGTATTTTGTCTTTATATCTGTGGCTCCTTCTTAGGTGAACTGAGAATTACTGTTTTCAGAAGAAAAAAAGGAAAATGACTTCATAAGCTGATGACTCTCAGGAAGTGTTGGGACCGTTCCAGTTATGCCAATCAGTTAAACTGTGAGCGTGCAGGAGGTGGGAAAGGGGACGTGGCTCACAGCACGCTCTTCCAACTGCTGCAGTCAAACTGTTGGGCCCATCTGCCTGAGAAGATTATGGTGATCTAGGATGAAGTGTGTAATCATTGCCCCAGATAGAGGGAACGACACCGCCAGATTGGGTTACTGGGCTGAGGTAGTTATTGTATTTCAGTGATGGGCGCCATTAGAAAAACTTAGAGAAACGAAGGAATTATCTGCCTAGACTAAAGAAAGAATTTATCTAGAATAAAGGAAGAGTAAAGGGGATGTAGATAGTGAGTGTACATTTAAAATGAAACCCTTTTCAATCTGGACTTCTGTGGAAGGGAAGGGGAAGAGAGAGGGAAGAATGGTGATAAAAAAAATTAAAAAGGGAACAGTTGAAAAACTGCAAAGGAAAAGTAGGCAAGGCTTTCCTCAGGCTATGTCAGATGCTACTTGCTCAGAATTTCACCCCAGAAGTCTGCTGCTTTTCCTCTCCTCTTACGGGGTTGCTGATGAACAAGTGATAACCGCAAGTGAAGCGGCAACAAAGATACCCCACCACCAACACAGTACAGCAGCAGAGTCTCTTTTTAATCTTCTTGTTTTGGATGAGAATGTTTGTATGTGGCTCAATACAAATATTTATGGAAAGATTTAAATTAAAAAAAATGGGAAAAGCTTGCAGTGTATACTGCATGTTACATCTGAACGGGAACAGGTGAAAGCTGCTTTCATCTTTACGTAACTGTTTCTGCATTTTCAGAGGCCCGGGAGTAGAGAGTCTCATACCTCTCTGCACCAGAGGTGGATTCAGCGCTTCCCAAGGGGAGACTGGGCAAAGTGCAAGGAGGGGAAAGTCAGATCAGAATAATCTGGCATGGGAAGGAGTGGAGAGCCCTCACGAAGCAAAACTGCTGTGGGTGACAACCCTGGTCAGTAACACACTTATTGCACCTCCTCAGTCCATAAAGTACGGTGGGTTTAGGAACTGCCTCTTCTTTGGGACAGCATCCAAAGGAGTGCAGCTGTGTCTGTAGCAGCGTGGAGCCAGGGAGTGTTCACCCATGAAAGACCAAAAAGGGTTTGGTTCCCTTTTAACCTGTTTCAGAGTGTAGGTGTTTCATGAGGTGCAAGGGATCTAGCAATTAACCTGGGAGGGTGAACTTGCCTATGAAAGTTTAAGATTGCCGGGGAAGGGGTGAGGGCGGGGGGATACTTACAGCATGTTGTTAATGAAGCTGTAGCAGAGATGATGTTCTGCTGTTCAGGTACACTGTCAGTAAAGCCAAAGGTAAGGGGTCAGTGACTACTATGGACTTGACTTGCTGGACATGAAGCATTTATTTATGTGAGCAATACATTAACAAGTGGCAAAGTTATACAATAAATTTATGTAGAAATACGTTCCCCCTCACTCCAGCACACCAGTCAACTTAATCAGGGCAAGAACTCTCAGTCCAAATAATTATTAACAACAGCTACAGCCTACCATGCACTAAACAAACTTGCTTCCTCCAACCTTTCTGAAGTCTTGAAGACACTGATTTGAGGTACACAAACAGTTACAAATAATTAGCAGTGTCATTAATTACCTGCCGGTAGTTGTAGGCTACTAAAGAAATGTCAATCTGGAAGTTAAATTTTACAATGTTTTTTCTTTCAAGTTAAAGAATTAAAGTGCATAGCAGCAGCTGTGTCTAATTGCTCAGTGGGAGGAGCTCACCAACTTCTAGTTGTTTCATTTTTTTAATTAATACAGTTCTCTGCGAAGACTTTGAACACTCCATCACCAGTAATCAACTGACATGGAATACGTGGCCCACTTCTGGTGCAGACATGTATTGGATTTGTTCTAACCTACAAGTTAAGGAAGCTTCTTAGCTGTGTTGGGGGCTATGATTCATATGACTGTCTACATATATACAAAACAAATTTTAACTCTCTTGTCATTAGGGACTCAGGCCCGTTTGAGGAGTCTGTAGAACTTGTCTGACTTCTGCTGAAGCTTGAAACGCAGTCATACTGCCAGACAAATATCAGGGCTACCATTTTCTTTTTAGCAAAAAAGTAGATTAGTAACTGTACAGTAGGTAAAAAGCAGTCTTTAAAAAAAATACTGAAATTACACAAAAGGCTGTAGTAAAGTGCCTAGCAAGAATATAAACAGGAGAATCAGTGTAAGCAGACAAACAACAATACATCATTGCTCCCCTCACCTCTTCACAAATTCTCCCACGTGCATTGTAACAGCATCAATGCTCAATGACAATGTTAAAAAGACAATTTTCACTTTGCTATATAAAGTATTAGAAAGCTTAAAGCCAATAATACAGTCCTATCAGAAAGTAGACTTTGGAGCAAGATTAGCTCACTTTTGTCCACGCTCTGTGCAGTGAGAGCTGCCAGGAACGCTGACAAGCCCGCTGCCCGGGCCGTGCCCGGCGGCACAGCTCCTACCCACCCTGGGAGCAGGTGTAGCTCCAGCTCTCCGGCTCAGATCTACTGAATGTTTACCTCGGAGCTACTGGCACTTCTCTTTCCCCTTCTCCCTTCCTCAGCATATGTTTCCCACACCTCCACCAGTTTTCTGCTAGAGGGACAGCCTCTGGCTCCCTTAAATCTGCAGATTATTTAGTGCTATTGTGCTTTCTAAGTGTTACTTCTGAGACATGGAGAAGCCAGGCGTTTCTTGATCCCTTATCCCTGTCCTTTCTCTACCTCACTCCCCAGCCTTACTAAGAGCTCTCAGAGCCCTGGACACGATCAGGGAGGCTGACATTTGTATTCGAGAGATCCATTTCCGTTATGAGTTTTGCTGGGGAAGAAATCTGTACTTTATGTAAAAATATGGAGCAATTTACACCAAAGCTGAATTTCAATTTTTCACTGCTTTCAAATGCATGCTCCGTGACACACCACCCTGTGACTAACTGCGTAAAAAACAAGACTATACAGATAGAGAACCTGAAATGTTAAAAAATATATTTTCCCTCTCCCCCTTCTCCCTCGACAAGTCAGCATTTAAACAAACACTACTAGGAGGTAAGCTGACATAACAACACTGAATAAACAGCTGCAAAAAACTTTTGGTTGCTAGATGTCTGCAGGCATCATGTAAACCGTATGCTACCTTCATGCTAGTTTAAAAAAGGTGTTCTACATCAAGGGATCCACACTCTGGCACTTCTGGCAAGAAACAGATGTTTTCAGGCTGGTAAAATTTTGAGATAAAAAAAAAAAGTAGTAAAAGAAATACATTTTCCCTCACTAGAAAAAAGTGCTCCAACAGCTATCACTTTTAAGTTGTAAACCCAGGAAAGACAAATTTCAAAGTTACCTGCCTGTAGAAGAGTTAATGATAAGATTTTTGCTTTCAGAAATCTGTCACTTAGTTCTGCTGCCAGTTTTCTAAACAAGCAACTGGCATCTTTACACTGTGAACCAACCTGCTAAGTGACTCAGGTTTGATAACTGAACTAACTTAGTCTGAGAGGTTTTAATTTTTTTTTTTTTTTGGACTAGTCTTTTTATCTAAACTAAGTAAGTTCCTCCTAAAGTTGTTTTCAGAATAACAATTTGCATTTAAATGTAAACACTGATACCAGAAATGTAGTGTATACAAAAGGCACAAGACAATTAGGTTTGTGTTGGTGAAACTTCCTTGACTTTGAAAGCTGATAATGCATCTTTTATTATCTGTCTGGTAAACTCTGATCCTCAGAAAGCTGCTAGCTCCTAACTTAACTGAAGGGGGTTTCCTACGTGCAGCAGCTTGGCTTTTTGGTATTGCAATCAAACATCTGTTGTCCTGTAAATGCAAATATCACAAGTTATAACAGTAAGTCTTGTTGATTGTACATGATATTTGTTAGGTAATGCAGTAAGAAAGGCAGTGTCTTAAAGAACAAGTGAAAAAAGAAATCTGAGACACCCATTGATTAATAAGAACCTAGGATTTTGAAAGACAGTGGCCCTTGGGAACACAGGTTGGTAAAAAGCATTTTGGATCAAAGTTATGTGCCAACATTTGTTTCCTGAAGGGGTTAACGGCTCCAAATGGGACAATAAAATCCCCGTTTCATAGGACTGTCCACTGCAGCTCCCAGCAAAATCCCCAGCTGGCCAGCTTCATTTATGTATCACCCATCTGAACGCAGGTTTTTATCGCTCCACTCACCAGTGACCCACTGTAGCATTCAATTAACAAAGGAGTTCTTTTCCCCTCCACAACTTTTCAAACTACTGGTAGCACAGATCTGAGGGAAAACAGAGCTTTTGCAATAATGTTTTCCAAAAATAGGCAGACACTTCACTTGGATCTCCTTCTTTTCAAAAATTGCTTATCAAGCACTCAAAAGAAAATACAGTCCACCGAGCCACTAAATTATTTGTAATCAACACTGGCTGTTCTCCCATTTGTAAAGCCAGTAGTGTGAAAATTTGATTTTAAAGTCAACTACTTGCAGCAATTTGAATTAAGAGCTGAATTTTCAAAACCAAGGCAAGAACATGGACTGGTACGTAAGGAGGCCACATTTTTCTTGTGCTGAATATTAAAGTAAAACCAGGCATTGAATTTTTACAATTGTAAACTCAGACTCCTCTTTTTTCTTTTTTTTTTTTTTTTTTTCATTTCCTAAGACTCAGAATCTTCCTTCACCATTCAAAACCAGTAATTTTGAAACATTCTCTATATGGTTCAGAAGTAGTATGTTTAGTTTCATGTTTCAAGCAGTGACATGGAGACAGCTAATCATCTGCCAGTTTGTTTTCTGAGCACATCCACACAGGAGCAGACAGGAGCAGCTGGCCAACAAGGCTGATACTTGGAAGAATGCATATTCCTTCCAAAGACAGCTTTCTCTTGAACTGGAACAGAGCATTAATCACAAAAGACATTATTAGAACTGAAGAATACTTTAAAATTAAGTTATTGCAAGAAGTCTCATCAACTCAAAGGGGAAAGTGAACAATAGCTGAATGAAAAGCCCACCCTAAAGAGGAATACAGTAAGACTGTTCACAGTTATTAATCCACTTCAGGATGACAGTGATTAAAAACTGACTACATAGCAAGCAGGGCACCAGTTTATAACATGAAGTGAGCTATTTTTACAGTACTTCCAGGTACCAGCATCATTAAAAAACAATTCTCTATTACCTTAGTATAAACCACATCTGGCACTCTCAGTAATTAGTCTTCTGATTAACTATAAAGGATTACAGGATGCAAGACGCTGAACATATCCTTAGTCGAGACAGAAATTCAAATTACTAACACACTGGCAGGGGCCATGGCCTGTATTTTTCATGTCAAAGATTAAATTACTTGCTTTTGTTGTTTTGACTTAAGCATCTTTAATAAAATATTCTATTCACTCCCTATAACTCAAATACTGACAATAAAGTAATGAAGTGAAATGCAAAGTAGTTTTAAAAAAAGTAAAGATTTTTTTATATAAGGGCTCTTATTCCAGCAACTGTATGTCAGATAGATATGCAGATGTTACATCTCCAGAACGTCTTTTAAGTGCCACATAGAAAGTTCTCAGACAGAGCTAAGGGTACAACCAAACTGGCACCTACATTCATGCCAGAGAAATTATCAGACCTTAGCTGCTGCCCTTCTGAGATGTGTATGCATCAGTCTGAGGCAAAACTAATTTCCAGGTGCCCCTTTATGTGGCTTTACACATATTCTTTTCAACGTAACCTCCTCTGAAGGTGGTCTCTCTTTAAAAAGCTGCGCTTCAAAACGGATGCTCGTGAAAGAAAGCAACAAAAAAAATCCCAAACCAAAGAAATGAACACCCCAAACCCCAGGGGTTGGGGTAATCAGACTGCAAACACAAATCTAATTGTTACTTTCTCAGTCTGGGTTGAAAAAACACAACCAAAAAAGAGCATGAACAGCTAAACAGCTTGAAAAAACACACTTTCAGCATTTTGAGAACAATCACAGATCACGTCTGATATTCAGAATAATCTGAATGACAAAGTTCCAATAAAACGTACATACTCTTCAAAGAAAGATTAAAGTTTAAAATTTACTACTTAAATATTAGGACTTCAGAAAGTGGAAGTCAAACCTGACAAAACTAGTTGCAATTAATATTTCTGTATCATAATCCAAAAATCTGTTTCTTTATAGCCTGTCTCCAATGCTTTACTCTCGAGTAGTGATGACATGTAAGACACTAAACTAACTGAAGTTGAATAATTTCTTCTTTTCCAGAAGCTGTTCTTTTGATGAAACAATTTATGGATTAAATAGGGCAGAAGCATGGCATTTTACATTTTGAACACAATGTTAGAAATGAGATTTTTAGATTCTATTAAAAAAAAAAACCCCAAATCTACACAGAGCAGTCAAAATTGTAGACACTGGCTGAGTTTCATTCGCTCTGCTCTCTAACTCTGTTCATTTGACACCCACATTTTCAACACTTTAACACTTCACACCATCATCGAGTTTGTAGATGTACCTATATGTGGAACTGTCTGTGTCTTTGTTCACACTTCACACAAAACCAGAATGTCGGGTCAAGAAATTTTTAGTTTCGCTGATGAATCCAACTGAACTGTTGGGACCTTTTTGGTATAGGCTGAAGGCCACCTGTTGGTATCTGCACACCTATCATTTTTATCATCTGCCAAGACAGTGCAGTACCATGCCTGATGGGTCTAGTAACAATCACTGCAGTTCTCCGATGGCTTTCCATGCCTTCCACTTTCTCCAGGAGTGACCGAGAGCAACCTGACAGCTGTGACAGCATGTCTAGCAATCACGTCACACACAAATGAAGGACATCCACTTGAGACAGTTTTTCAGGATGACTGAAGGGGTGCTTCCAATAGCAGAGATGGAAATGACCTTGCTGGAACAACAACTCCAATGTTGTTGGAAAACAATAAATTATTTGGTATGCTGAAATTCTTAGGGTTGGAGAAAAATTATTTATCCAGTTTTAAATATGAACTAGTAGATTTCCATAAGCTTTGGTGGACTTAGAAATCTTCAAATACTAGAGTGAATATGATGATTGATTATGTTCATTCTCTGCAATGCAATTATTAAGGTCTCCTCCTTTTATGTGCATAACAGAATTTACTAGCTGCTTCTCAAACCTGCCTTCTGAGAACTCTATGTTGCAAGATATCAATGCTAGAAATCAAAAAGAAAAAAATCTCAGCTATTTTTGACAATAGGTGACTAAATGCTCAGAAATTCATATGGACATCTGTCTTCAGTAGGCAGCACTTTTTTATTATTAAATAGGATGCAGCTCAGTACCTGGCATTGAAGAACAAGCTTCCAGCAGCTTAGATATTAAAACAAATCTTTTTCCCTTCATCACCTGATAGACGTTTACATGCCAGTGCTGGTTGTGGCTGGGACAGTTACTTTTCTTCACAGTAGCTAGTATGGAGCTATGTTTTGGATTTGTGCTGGAAACAGTGCTGATAATACAGGGATGTTTTTGTTACTGCTGAGCAGTGCTCACTCAGAGCCAAGGCCTTTGCTGCTCCTCACCCCGCCCCACCAGCGAGTGGGCTGGGGGAGCACAAGGAGCTGGGAGGGGACACGGCTGGGACAGCTGACCCCAGCTGACCAAAGGGATATCCCATACCATATGATGTCATGCTCGGCATGTAAAGCTGGGGGAAGAAGAAGGCAGGGGACATTTGGAGTGATGATGTTTGTCTTCCCAAGTGACTGTTAACACATGACGGAGCCCAGCTGTCCTGGGGATGGCTGAGCACCTGCCTGCACCATGGGAAGTGGGGAATTAATTCCTTGTTTTGCTTTGCTTGTGTGCACAGCTTTGGCTTTACCTATTAAACTGTCTTTATCTCAACTCACCAGTTTTCTCACTTCTACCCTTCTGATTCTCCTCCCCATCCCTTGGGAGGGCAGCAAGTGAGTGGCTGTGTGGGGCCCAGTTGCCAGCTGGGGTTAAACCACAACACTGCTTTAGCAGTCCAAGCCATGACCTTTGTTTTCACTGTTAAGAACTAACTTCATTTTCAAACTTAGCTTTACAAATATTTGCTGGACAGCTTGAATAGTCATAATTTTATTATCTTACTAAAGAAAGAGAATACTAATAGTATTTTGGAATATTACCTAAAAGCAATGGGTATAAACTATTTTGCAGACATGACACATCAAGAAATAGGAGGTTTAGTTTAAAGCTATGAATTCATGTGCTGCTATGCACGGTACAAAAAAATAAATTGAAGAAAATAAAACAGATAGGAATTGCTTTAGTAATTTTCTTTTCTGCATTCTTCAAGAGGTAAGGCATCATGGAATAACACATTAAGTACAGAGAATATTAACATACCTTTCCTTACATATTCAGATGTTTCTTTTAAGGGAAATTAGGTTTCATTTTCCATGGTTAATGCAGGATTGCTCATACCTTTAAAGACAAAAAATTGTAATTCCACAGGAAAAGCTCTCATGTCTATTTCAGCAAATAATATAACCTTTAATTAACAATCCATCTTAATGTCATTCCACTATTACCAAGTCTATTTCTGTCCTCTGTCCATTACATGGCTTTTCACTAGTTGCAACAAGGTGTCATCACATTCTGGTATAATTCTTTTGGCAACAAATTGCTTATCAGACTCATCTCAAAAGATAATTAGCATCTCCTGGTGTTAGTGTTCTCAGTATTTCTCAGTCAGGTTTAACTGGGAAGGGCACAGCAGCTTGATACATGGAACTTCCTACAAACATGCACGTAAAACAAGCTTCATGAATTTTGGTTCATGAATACAAACCAAGTGATCTTGGTAATTTTTATACTACATCCTCCCAAACTAGTTTATTACAAAACAAACCATTGCAGCATAAATTAATTCCTTACCAACTTTGCCCTTTTCAGCCTTTGCACCAGTTTCTGACCAAGACGGTGTATCCGTAAGAAGGTGGCTCTGGGAATCGCGCAATGGCTTTGCAGGAAACAGGTGGCTCTCACTGTAATGACGATTCAAAAAAAACCATTAGTAAACTGCAGTAATTTTTCATTATCTTACCACACATTACAGTTTGTCATACACAGTATTTTCCCTACCTTATCTTGCTGCTTTTCTGGTGAATCACTACGATTTTATCATTACATGTATTACAGTGCAGTTGTCAGATGCAAGTGCAATCTAAAAAGGAACTCCCTAGCACAGAACAGGGAAACATGCTGATTTTTTCTTTGACAGCTACTATATATTAATACATTTACTTCAGTTCTAAATGCACTCTATCCATATTCTCTCCCACTACGACAAACCTGACATGATAAACAGTGGAGAGATCATCTGCAAAACCTCTTGTCTAATATAAGCTATGGATCACTGGGGTAAGATTTAAAATGTTGATAAACAGCTAGCTGAAGCATAATGTATTTCTTTTACCAGTAAAAGACTGTCAGTACGTTTCTTTTATAATTTCTTAGTCACATATTCAAGTCTACTATACTTATTACACTTTTCATTACATAAATGTTGCAGAAAAGTTACAATATGAAATACTAAGTTATGTTTATTTAGTTTAAGAAGCATCTGCATACTTTTCACACTTTAAAGATGTCATGTTCATGGAGGATAAGGGTTAAGAAAATATGTCCTATTATCAGCAGAAGCAAAACGTGCATTTAATATGCAGCTTCCTGTGCTTTGGCACAAGTGCTGAGGCCTATGATTCCCTTACGTGAAGCATCTTTCACCGGATACAAAGAAGCAGGCCTCCCCCAAAAGCCTTGCAAGGTAATACCTCCGTACCACAGGCAGGCAGACAAACGGTCTCATAGGTATGCAGAACAGAATGTTGCTGGTACTGAATGTTAGGCAGGGGTGGAAAATTCAGGACCTGGGATGCCAATGAACTGAGACAAAGCACACCAGGGGAAAGAAACCCCCACCTTATTTCCATAAATCTAAATATTAGTCTGAGGATTAGCTGAATTACAGCTCACCTGTTTAAAAACTGACTTGTATTTATTAATAGGATATTCTTCATTTGCTTACTCCTTTTAAGTATCTTATACGTGGTTCTATTTACATGTGCACACAAAAAAATAAGAGTATCAACTATCTGAAATGAGTAACAAAAAGCAGATTACTTTTTGGATGTTGAATTAAGACCACCAGGTGTGGAAGCTTGCTCAGGATCCTGATTAACAAGGCAAGTTGGGAAGGAGCAACCATCCCCTAGACTGAAAAATTCAGAATTAGTGTCATACATACATAAAAAAACACTTTGAAGAACTGTTTTTTTCTGAAGTATTACTGTATCTTATTTCAAAAAACTAACCACCCCCAAACCCTGTGGATCCTGAATAGTGAACAGTGTCAACAAATGGAGCATTAAAAACTGAGCATACCTTGAAAACACAGGCAGCAACCAGTATTTCTTCTCATCACCAAATACCTGCCTCAGGTTTTTGCTGAAGCCCAAGCTAAAGCCATTCTTGTCTGTTCTATGACGAAATATGGGAGCTCTGAATACCTCTTAAAGGAAAAAAATTAATTAGATTTCTTTGCAAGATACCACATTTAAGTTTCACACTATTTAGGGAATCACACTGATGATACCATCACCCAAGAGGAAAGGCTATACTGCCCAACTGACTGAGAAAGCTACTCCAGTCATGAAAGTCAAAGTCAGTGCTACACAGGCACTGTGCGTGCAGAGAAAGTGCAATGGCTGAGGAAGGGTGGAAGTCTCCTTCACACCCCTCCCTACTCAAGGCAAGGAAGAGTGAGGAACTCACTTTTTAAGAAGGTGTGATATGTTATATGAAGATTTCAGCATGTGACTATATTACAGAGTGTTCAAGAAAGAAAAACCTAAACAAAGGGTTTACTACAGAAAGTGTAATGGAAAAGAAGATGAGCTTAACCTACTTCGGTAGCAAGATTAGCTTTCACACCCTGGGGTATGAAAATATTGTGTGTTTTTACAGCTTCATAAAGAATGCACTTTACTCATAGACCCAGGTTATTCCCCATGGACGTCCAACCTAAATTTCTGGAGAAGAGAGCTAAACACAGCTTCAAGTGTTGCAAAGTGCCTGAAGCAGAAAACTCAATTCACTTTCCACCAATTGACTGATAGCCATTTAATTCCGTTAATTGACTATATATAGTAGGGTAGGCAAGCCATGTCCTGACAGCACAGCTCACACAAACTATGCTGGAACCATGCAGAAATTGTTCTTCTGCAGTAAATCCTTGGCTATGAACTGCTGGAAATGACCTTCAACATGTAGTATGCATTAGTTACAAGGTGTTTTGAAGAAGGGGGAAGGGAAAATAGAGATACCCTTTTAGATGCCCATGTTAGGCTAGGAAAACTGCTCCAAGGATGATTTAAGCACGGTCACAATTAAAGCTGTCATGGCTTCATTGCCAAACTACTGCATGTTCAGGGTTTCACATATCGAACAGTTTCCCAAAGTAAAATGGGAAGAAGAGACAAACGGATCTTTTTGAGTACCTTGAGTGTACACAATATGTGGTATATTACCTGCATGGAATTCAACTGTTATAAAAACATCAAGTGATGAATTAGATGTGTACTGCATTATGGCTACCTTTGATTTTTTTTTTTTTTTTTTTTTTTTACTAAAATGATAGGAACAGTTTATATATAGAATATGTACTTATTTCCATTCATTTAACCATCATTAATAAAACTTTTATCCACTTACAACTAGATTGGGTGAACTTTTTTTCAGTACTAATTTCTAAGTAGATGATTTTTCATAATACTGAAAAAACCCACAAACCCTAGAGAAATCTTGAAGTAAACAAGCTTTCTTCCATTGATATATATCCAAAGTTTTCCATTAATCATCTACATATTAGTAAATCCCAAGAGAACTGGAAAAAACAGATCAATTCATCAGCTTACTTTGAATTCAGCTTATTTCAACAGAAAAGCATTTAGAGATTTAGGAACTTTCATGAACATATTACAAACTGGTATTATTACGGGCCAGGAAAAAGTATAGAACAGGCAGTCAAATCTCCATTTATTTATTTGTTTATGTATTTATTTATTAATATTTATAATCAGACAAATATGCATCTAAGTGGTGGGAAATCTTGGCATAGTGCTGATATTCAATGCTGATATTCAAGTTATATATACTGCCCCGTAGTAGAAGCACAGGCCTCCTCCTCTGAGGTTTTTAAAATTAACTCGTAACACCGAGGCCTTTCCATGCATCTATTATTATGTGGTAGACAGGACTCAACTGTGCAACTACCTTTCAGATCTCTCTGCTCATTTGCTACTAATTATAGAAGCACTGCCTTAAAGTCTGTTCTTCTGTATCAGATCATTCTCTGACATTGGCTCTTCGTGCTCATTCATGTCAATCAAAACTAACAACACTAATGGCCACAATCAGCCTGCCTTCCAGAATTATTTTTCTCTCTCCTTGCATCCAGTACAGGCAAAGTTTTGGAATTAATAGCTGTGCCTTGTAGAGCTTTTAAACAAAAATGTAGCTGAACTGAACAGAGGATCTTTGGTTCTGCATGGGTTAAGGGGGGAATGAAGTGCTGGAGCCCTGACTGAGATGCTACATCTGACCTGGGGGCTGGGAATGCCAAACAAGAAGCGCATGGGTGAGTATGCATTAGTGCATCTCACATTTATTACAAAGTGATGTCAATTTTTTTTTTTTTTTTTTTTTTTGAGTTTGATCAGTTTCTGTTAACAAGCTGTGGATGGGAGGAAGAGGATATGCTCATTAATAACTTGGCCCCTTGGGGCATGATGAAAAGAGTCAGAATTTCTGGGGAACAGCAGTACTGGGGAGTTAGTACTGGACATTGTCAGATCTGGGCACTTCCAACCAGGATCCAAGGAACCTGTATAGGATTGCCCGCTTTTTCCATTACCCCCCACACATATAATATACATATATTATTTATTTTTTGCTGCCAAACACGGAAGCATTAAATCTACTTACCTAATGTAGACTTATTCTTGCTGACAAGCCAACAGTGATACCCAAAGAGAGAAGACAGACTGACAGAAAACATTGCTGCAGCAAAGAATAAAAACATGATGTGGAACTTGGCCTGAGTATCAGGAAGGCCATTCTGAAAATAAAAAAAAAAAAAAATACGCTGTTAAAATTGGGGAAATAGCTGTTTAATTTGATTATTAATAATCCTCTATTTGGCCAAATCAAATTCCATGCAGACACAAAATGTACCACATAACAAGGGTCTGAATAAATAAATTATACACCTTCTATGTACAGACAGCCATGCAATTTGGTGGCTGACAGCATCCACATGAAAGAACCAGGCCCTTTCTTGAGAAAGTATAAATATTGACAACAAGAATCTGAAATTTGGATTTGAACTTTGAAGTGTCTTCTATTGAAGAATAACTCACCTTTACAAAACTTGTCTTGTTTAATCAGCCTTTTCAGAATACTTATAGCATAAATATTGCAAATCTAAGAAGGTAATATCCTAAGTTGTGATAATAAAACACTAGAAAATTTCATTGAAGATGTTGCATAGCATAGCATTAAAGGAAGTTAACAAAGCCTATCTATAATACAAATTCCCTTGTAAAATGTTTTCTAAATAATTGCATACTTGTTCTACATAGCTTCCAAATAATGAAGAAATAAGTGAAATTTCATAAACTACGATAAACAGAAAAAAATAGAGGGCTATAATTATTAGATAAACTTTTGTACCTCATATCAGGAGACACCAGATTACAGTGTAATGCCTTGGAGTCTTAGACTTCTCTCACAGTGGTAGCTTCACACACTCAAAGACATTATGTAGATTAGGATACTTACTGTCCAAAACTTGATAAAATACTGTAAATCCGTTGCAGCAATGAAAAGGCAATACAGTAGCGAGTAAGCCAAGAAGAGAAGAAAAAATTTGTAATTGGAGAATCCTACACAGTTGTTCACCCTGATAAGAAAAAAAAGGTAAAACTAGAATATAATGAACGGCATTTTCTTCACTTTCATCCAATTTAAAATTAAACTTATTTACTCTAAAAAAGTTAGTATCAACATGTAAGCCAACTTTTGCTTCCTATCTCTGGTGCCTCAAGCTACTGAGGTGTATTTAGCTTAAACTTCTGAAGTAGCATAGTAATTCTAACCAAAACCAAAATACCACTACCACAGAAAAACAAAGAACTTTACCAGGTAATACTACTTTCAACAGCTTACTGAAATTGAATTTTCACTTATGGTATGAAATCTGTTCCCAGCAGATCTGATGTAAATGTGACTACAGTGACAGTTACTTTTTCAGTTTGTATGCATTCATGCTTTACTATCGGGCATACTGCAAATAACAACTGGGACAGTTCTAAACCAAGAATCCAAATGTCGGCTGAATTTTGTGAGAATAAAAACAGTCTCATTTAATCCACATCCTTCTTCATTAATCATACTACATACTAAAACTTCTTAGTAAGAGTCTCAAACTTAAGAGTATTAATAGGAGACTCCTAAATATATTTACATTTATATAAAGTAATGAGAGAAATACTGCTGTTAAATAAAGTGTTCCCTATCAGTGACAACAGCAAATAAGAGAGAGATTAGGAACATGTAAATACACATCCAAATACTGAAATAAATCTCATTTTATCATTACTACTTATGTGTTTCAAGTTCACCTGTTTCCCACTTCTAATGAATTTATACATGAGCAACCAGTATACACTATCATCAGAGAGACATGATGAGGGTCTATTTAGTACCACAGCAGCTTCCCATTAGAGGCAATATATTGAGTATTGTGAATCTTAGAGCAGTCTTAAACATGTAATGCTATTACATCCACCACACGAAAAACATTGGAGGGCTGCCAAACTGCTGGATGGTTTATTGGTAAACAGCCTCCTCTTTGTTTTATTTGGTTGCATTAAGCAGCTAATGAAAGTTATCACTGCACTGCTAACTTTAACTCTATATGAGTTAAAAACAATAATTCCATATACCTTAACTAAATGATATTGCTGTCAGAGAGATCAGCTAATTAAAAGAAGACTACATCCATGAAAGCACTTGTGTGTTGAAAAATAATTTTCAAAAAATAACACACGGGGAGTCTCAACTTTAGCTTCTACAAGTACAGGACAAGTTACTGCAACTATTATCTTCTTTAGGGAAACAGTGATGGTAATGGCAGGATACATTGTAATCAGAATAGGGTAAAATCTTCAAATACTAAATAAACTTTCACTGCACATTACTGTTATCCATCCTCAGGGTGGATAGGGGGGTTATCTGCTCTGTTATTGGTTTTGTTTTTACACAACATGCCACCTTGGCTAACCTTAAATTTAGCATCACCATTTAAACATGCAGCAATAGCTAAGCATCTGTATTAAGTACAGTTAAGAAGAACCCAGAACAGATTGTTCTAATTAAAAACCCCAGAAGGTACGTTTCTAAGCTCATCATGATTCTTACTGGGAAGTAAATCTACAATTCTCCACAGCAGAGTGTTATTTTTCATTAAATATGTCAAATTAGACAATTCCAGGCTAGACTGCAAGCAATTCAGATTCATGGTTTCTATGATAACCCTATTTTCATTTCATGGTATTTATTTTAGGACAGTTTTTACTTTATGACAATCTTTAGTGTGAGAAAATAAATATCAAGTGAAATGTTATTCCCCAAAGATGAAATTTCCTGAATCAAAGACAGATATCTTTCTCGCTGTTCTTTTGCATTACTGTATATGGTACACACATTAAAATAAACTTTCATAAATTATTCCGCTTCAATTTTGACAAAGCCTCAGACTGAAGAGTTCTTACTGTAAGGTAATAAATAGTTCATCAGAAGATTGAAGAGAAAGTAAACACCAATGTTTTGTAATTGTACTATTTGAACATGTAGTATCAAATCATAAGACCCAAAAATGGTGGTTAGATTTGAAGTCTAACATTTCTGAGGAAGAGTAAAACTGATAAATGTACCGACAACTGGCTAAAAAATGTGCTACTGCAGTGAAAGATTCATACTGAATAACAGTCCAGGTTAACACTTAAAACATTTAATTTTGAAGTACAAAAAGAAGAGATATCCCTTCTGTTTCAAGAGTTAGTTTACTGAAAATGCCAGGCAAAGAAATAACTTAAAAGGCACTGAAGGTGATGCAAATGAGTTAAGAAAAGGTATCACAGGATTAAAGAGATGCTAAATGAGATGCTCAAAAGACAAAGGAAAGATGTTTCAAATGTTTCCTAAGGTGTTCCTAATGCACCTTGTTAGTATTAGAGTTGTTATACACAAATTATATTTTTGGTGATGCCTCAAGCCATTGCATTCCTGCCTGAAGCTCCATCTCTGTATAGAATGAGTAGCAGCAGCACTAGTATAGAAATCACTAGTGCTTTTATTTCTGCATCAGCTCGCTTTTGTTTCTGCTTCACTTAAACATTTTAGAGGGCACCTGGCATTAAATATTTCCATTTATCGCAGTGCTTCCATTAGCACAGGAGTGATAGCCTCCCATATGAAATAAAGCCTCCCAAAAAGCAGAAGACAGCTGACCTGGGGCTAGGACATGACTACCAACTTACTACCTCTGCCTTCCAAATGTTTCATCTTACCTTCCCTAGGTTATTTTTACCTGTTCTCTGCAGAAATCCTTCTCCTAGCCAAATGTTAAAATAACAGTAATTCCCATTACTGACTCCCTGCTCTCCTTAAGTATCATTTGGGTTCTTTTCCCCTTTTTACTCACCAAACTTACTTCCACCAAAAAATCCCAACACAAAAAGCAAAGCAGGATGTAATGATATTCTCAGGGGGGGCTAAACCCCACCCATTATACTGATTTGCACCCTTACTTTTGTTGGCAAAATAGCCATATGATATTTCCCAAAGAACCCTTAAAAATGGGTCTTTAAAGGAAACTATAAAATTTGATCAGCATGTGTGCAGTATTTCAGAACTCTCTTGTCACTTCCACATAGTTACCTTTTTCAGGGTGAGAAATTAACTGTGGATGTTCACTCAAATTAGGAAAAACAAAGCAAGGCAATACCACTTTTTCTATTAGTTTCTGTTACTTGGAGCACAAAAGGAACAATTCTCCATCAAGAAGTGTTACACATCTTTCAAGTACCTTCTCCATTTCTATTATTTCTTTTTGCACCCATTGCTTATTAGATTAAAAACAATGAGCAATGTAAATACTCTCTCAAACTGGGTATGTGCATGTTGTTCGGATATGAAGAGTCTGCAAACAGGTACAATATGCAAATATTGCTGAGAGGAAAATGGAGTTTATTTTTCTAGAAGTCTACGCTGTAGTAAAATACCACTTCACTGCCCCTTTACACAACACTGAAGTGCTCAGCTTATGATTTGTTATTTGATGCAACGGATTTTTATTCTGAAATTGAAGTTTACATGAAGGACATCTTCATGTACTATCCTAAGGCAGGACAACTCAACAAATCCCAAACAGACCACAAAGCTTATGCGAAGTGTGTATAATACTGAATAATAATAGTAATATTGAAACTTCTCACTGGTATTTTGTCAGGAATAGCCTGACAGCTATTTTTCTTACACCTTTCTACAAGACAGCTATAAGAAGACTGAAAGGAAATGATAGGAAACAGCCTCTTTCTTTTTTTTAAAAAAAAAAGAAATTTGTTCTGCATTCAGTGGTTTTACCCGTGTTTTGTGGTTTTTTTTATAATAATTGTTTATTAAGAAGCACACTACTAACATTAAGCATCTATCTACTCACTGGTTGCAAGGGCTGCTGAGAAAAGACAGGAAAACAAACCCACTATGCAGGCTGGCACAACAGCAAAAGGAGGAAGGGTGAGAGGGAGAGGGGAGAAAAAATGAAAAAAAGAACCCATAAAACTAAAAGAGCTAACTTGCTGTTTCCAGCAAGCCCACTCAAGCTGTTCTGGGAGCTTCATTAAGGGGAACAAGGCACAGCCCTTCCTGTTGATTTTTAACTTAGTGTAGTATTTCATAATTCAATGCAGTTAAGCCCCGGTAATACTCAATCTCAAATTTCATGAAGATGCAATTCTTAAAAGAAGTTTTCTTACTGACCATAAGCCTGCCTCATCATAACTGTAAAAACATGGAGTTACCTAACTCAAAGGTCTAAGAAAAATGATGTATGAACTTCTTTCCACATCTCACAACTATGAAAAGAGGACATACAGGAAATAACTCCAGTGGTCCTGCAAGACCAGTAACTTCACATAAGCATCTAACTCTACAAATAGTGAAGCATCACCTTCATAACAGGTCCCTCAAGTTTATTTTACCAAATCAGAAAGTAAGAAAAGAAAGCCAGCAGTACACTCACCAAGGGCAATGATGATCCATTTTCAAAATGCATCTTAAAAAAACCCCAACAGAATTCCAAGCACCGCAAAAGGCAAAAGAAAAAAAAAGTCAGAAGCACAGTTATGTGTCAGATTCAAATTATTCACATACAGATTAAAAATTAGCCATACGTACTATTGGTTAACTAATCTCTTTATTAAAGATGTCTATTTAAATTCACATAATACAGTTTACCTACAAGTAAACTGTAGGTAACCCAAACTCATAACACTTGTTCTGTCAAGAGCTTAGGGATTTAAGAAAATGCAATCTATAACTTCAAGTTTAGGATTTGGTCCTCATTCTGAGTAATTTTTTCAACTATTATTTATTATCTGACAGAGACTCAGAAACTGGGTTAATTCAATTACTATACACTTAGTAATACAACTAAATATATTTCCAAGTATATGTTTTGCTTTTATAGAAATATATACAGATGCATGTGAAGTTTTTAAGAACTTAACTTGTATGAAAAATCCCAAACATTTTTGAAATCAATCACTCCCCATTAATAAAACATGCACAAGAAAATCAGATATAATCGAAGTAAATGAATTTTGAAAAGGTAAGGACAAAATTAAGGTATTCTGCAAAATGTATTAACTAATGGCATTCTGCAAATTTCACTCACATTTCATCGGGTAACACAGGTCACCCTTTTTCTCCACTCTGCTCAGACATGAGAACGTTCCTATCTTACATTGCAACCACCATCCCATACAACACAACCAAGATCCTCTTTCTGACTCAATTCAGTTACTCTCTCAGTGCCTCTGCTGTTTTGCTGGACAAAATGGAAAGTCTTCTCTGCCCCACAATCATGCTGGAAAGTTTGATGCATTATCAGCTGAAGAGTATTTGGAACAGCCTTAAAGCTAAGAATCAATCAACCTTCGAGGAAGACCCTTCTCTTAAAGTTAGAAGTTTAAATCACTGGGGGCAAGAGTAGAGAAACACACAGACATCCAAGCTAACTGGAGAAAGGCCAGAGAGAAGAACAGCTGAAAGAAAAATTAAATTAGAAAGCAATTAAACTTAGACAAAAAAAACCCCTTTGTTTTACGGCTTCAGTTAGAAACAGGGGATACTTGGTTGTTTCTTTCCTTAAACAAAAATAACCTGCAAGTTATCCAATGAAAAATAGGATATTAAGTTTATTACCTCGGATAAGATGTAAGTGACATCATGATTAGATTGAGATGGGTAGTGATCTTTATTCAGATTCTAACAAAAGAAGCAAATTTTTGTTTATCAGCTATTTTTGGTTACATTGTTAAGGAAAGTTCTTTCTTAATATTTGTATTTTTTAACCATTATGTAAAGAACGTATAAGACCACATTATCCATGTTGGCATCAAGAAGCCATCAAATGAATTAGAGTAAGTTATAGACTTCATTAGAAATATGTAGATAAAAGCTAAATCTGGAAAAAATCTAAGGAAAAAAAATATGCTTATCTGCCAAAACATGAATTGTGAAAAATTTATGAACAAAAAAAAAAAAAAAAGCTTCTGTGTCAAGAAAAAAATCCATTAATTCAGAAAACCACTTATTTGAAATATTTTCTTACTTGTCGCATACAGAACAGTGATGGCAACGATCTGGTTTTACAAGATGGCATCTGTCACAGTATCTGATTGCTAAAGAAAAAAGTTCCAAGGTTAGATCTCAATGTACAGTTACACATTCTGATTCCTGAAGTCTGCGCAAAAGTAAATACTAGCAGCTTAGCCCAGCAGAAACCCCAGGAAAGCATTTCGGTATGATCAGAAGCAGTTGCAAATACTGAAACATTCTTTAAGTACTTGCAATGCTGAATCTAGCAGAGTGAACCCAAAAAGCTCAGTTTTTGCAATCTCTGCTGATCATGCTAATCATGTTTTTTTTCTCCGAAACCCCTCAGCTCTGCAAAACAACCAATGAACCAACAAAACCCACAAAACCCTCACTAGACTGGAAAACCTTTAAAGACTGTTCAACAATATAGCTATTTTAAACTATTATTGTAACAGCTTTAATTTACTACATGAGATTATCTCTTGGATTTGCTTAGCTAGCGGGCTTTCACAAACTTACAGTATCAGTGGGTTAAGATTAACTCTTAGTTTGGAAGAACTTTTGTTCTTGCAACTGAACAACCACCAAGTAAAAGAGTAACAGTTTCTCTTCTTAATGTCAGTGTGCAAACATTTAGCAAAGCATTGTGAATCCACTTTAAAATCCTAAATTGTATGCTGCAATCTATTTTCCAACAATTTTTCCACTGAATAAACATAGTTGCATAAAGCTACATTAAAGTTAAGCTCTTGGGTCACTTATTTTATGAAGTATGAAAACCACTTCTTCCTTACAATTAGTTTAGGTAGTACATCAAGACACCTGCCTTCAGTGGTCTCCTGAACACCTATTTACCTCCAGACATTGTCCGTGTATAGATAGGAAGATCCTTGGCTGCCCGTCTTAAGACTTCTTGCTGGGATTCACCTCTAGGCTCCCTCTCTAGGGATTCCTTGTCTGAATATGATAGATGAAACTGGAATAATTTTTAAAATCAAAGATATGTTATCAAATTTCAAGTTAAGTAAGTATCTGTAGAGATGTAAAGAGAAACATATATTCATTATATAAAGATGGATTAGTTGGTACAAGGTATTACAGCAAGTAACCCAGTGTTGCTAGGATGACTGATTTAGTTCATGACAACTAAAGACAAAATTTAAATTATTTCTGATTTGGTATTGATGCAACGCTGAATGCTTCCAGAAGTAATAAGTGACACTCTTCAAGAGAGGGATCAAGAACTTACCATTCCCTTGAAAGGTCAGTTAATTTACTTCTGTAATATTAAATATTATCTAGTGAATATAAGCTAGGGATATCAGTTTTTAACTACAAGAAAATATACTACTAGTAACAGCAGAAGAGATAGCTTTATTTCTCTTCCGGTGTCTGGCATTTTCCCTTTTCTTTGCCACTGGAGAGTTGTTCTCTTCATGTAGGTGTTAGGATGTGTTTTTACTTCAGAGATTGGCTGAGAGAAGGAAGAGATGGGTGCCCTGTATGGCAGAATAACCACGTCTTAACATTCCTATCTGAAAACACAACTTCTGCCACTGCCCAAAATGGTAATAACAAACATTGCTCTAGTAAGAGCAAAGAGGTTAAAAATTACTGAAAGAGACACATGGTATACATAAAGTAGTCCAAATCTCTTATAAAGTCCTTTGCGACACAGTGACACAGTCAGATTTGTCGCTATAGCTTCCAGAAGCAGGCAGATGCTGAAGTCTTTGGTATCTCTATCAGAGAAAGAGGATACAAAATCACCTCTGAAAGGAAAACTGTATTTGGCAGAAAGAGAGGCTGTTTCTAACCTATACTAGAAACATAAGCCCACTGCATAGCATTTATGTCTACAGAAAGGCTAGTCATTACAGCAATATTAATTTTTTTCCTAAATGGAAGCGATGCATGCAATAAAGCAGACAGAAACATACAGTTAGGAGCCTATTCTCACCTCCATAGAGAAGGCACCACTCTACCTTCCCAACAAAGCTCACAGTCTTCCAGCAGAGGCTGGAGGTTCACTGCTCATCATGAGTTTCTCAGGTTACCTTTATTTTCTTCCCTAGCAAGAATATACTCTTTCCAACACCTGAATGGATTTATATCAGGATATACAGTGTTTTCTAAGTGAAGAAACTTGTTTCAGAATACTTTTATCTTTTTTTAATGCTTCCTGTTTGATGTACACAGAGCTATTGCTCCACCATTTTGCATTGGTTCTAAGTCCACAAAACCTTCCTGCCTGGGAAATTATCTTCTCTCCCACCTTCATGCAACACATATATATATAGCTGGTACACACAGGTACAGAATGGCACACACTAAAGTGAAGTCCCTAAAAGTCTCTCAGAAACTGCAGCCAGAACTTTAGTGCTTTTCATACATGTAAAAAGTTGAAATCAGCTTAAAAAGAAATATATAGGCTCTGTGGTTTGCACCAGCTGCAGTATTAATGAAAACAAAATGCAAAAGCTTTATCTGTTTCTCGGTCTTCAAATGAGTATTTGCTATATTTGATAAGTCAGTTCTGTTAAATTGAAAATACATCTTTGTACATTTACAGACTTCATCCTAGAAACTGGAAGCCAAGCAGTAACTTAACATTACAAAATACTCTAATCAAATTTAAAAAAATATTGGTCTAGTAGATTAGGAAAAAAGACATGGAACAACGAAGATGTCACTGCCAGCAACATTGTGTAACTTCAAAGAACACAGAAACACCACACATTGCTTTCTATTACTCAACTTGCAATACTCTTAATTTCCCATTTGAAGTTCTTCAGTAGCATTGTATGATGGCTTTGGAATCCCACTATAATTACTAAGGTCTTGTCAAAATGTTTTGGAAGTCTTTTATTGGCATCAGCCCAGTGATTTGAAAATCCTTCTAATTATCGCTACAGTCACCATATATATGCATATATTTTGCTATGTAATTACCAAATGAAATAAGTTCTTAATTTATTTTGCTCCTCTCTGCCCTAAGCTGTAAGTAAAGACTGCAGTGTGAAATTCAGGGAAGATGCCAATTACTCTGAATTATCTACTTCTTTCCACATTACCTATCTTATTAGTGACTGAAAACTGTTCAGAAAAGAACCTCTGCACAACAGACAGTAGAAATCACAAGCTACTTATTTTGTGTTGGCATGGTAGTTATATGAGCTAGAGTTATGAGTCCACGCCGAAATAAGTATTGGTTTTGTGAATATTTCAAACTCCAGAGCAGCCACAGCTACCTCTTGACCTTAGAGGTAGCACTTACTGAAGACTGTGGGGTTTCCGTACAACGACAGGATAGAAAAGGCCAAAAAGTTGTGCTGGTTGTACCAAGCTGCATGGGGAGGATTTTCATCAAGGTTATTGATAGCTTTCTCTTTTTTTTTCAATGATAGAGAGAATGTGGAGTAATAAAAAACCCTAATACTGTACTAAAAGCAATTATCTTGAGGCTACATCATGTCGGACATGGTTTTGCATCTTAATATCCTCCAAGACAACCGGATCCTTCTTCTTTAACACTTCTATATTAGGGGGACTTAGACTTGGGGAATATATTTACTCAGATCTCTTTTCCATGCAGCTGTTCTATACCAGGTCCCTTCCTGCTTAGCCAGACGTGGCTTCCCAGCGTCAGCTTACTTGTTGTGCGCTCAAGCCACAACCCCCAAGTTCCTTCAAACCAAAACAGATGGGGAAGAAGATTTAATTCGGAGGACAACAGACAGATGCTGACAGGCAATATAACTCTTGAACAGCAGGAAATATTTTTTTTTTCCCACATAAAAGTATTATATTCCCATGCAAAGATTTAAGCTGCTAGTTCAGATAACTCTCATTTGTCAAGTGGAGAGGGTTTTTTTCTTCTGAATATAATAAATATTATATAATTTTAAAAATATGTGGAAAATACCTTTAAAACTTAGAGAAAGTGTAATTGTTTTTTTTTTTTTTGTCTTGGTCATTATGAGTTTGCAATCTGACTTACTCCTATTAAGAAGCTGTAACTACCATTTGTATTTTTCTACACAGTGTAAAACTACATGAGATCAGAATCTAAATTATTCAAATACTACAAAATCAGGCATTTGACTAGGCTATTTCAGAAACAAAAGTTAAGTTTATCTTACTTCTTTTGAAGGATTCATTGGTAGCGTAAAGATTGTTTTCCAATATGACCAGACGAACAGCATGAAAAATATGTGGTAAGCAACCAGGCACACAACTAAAATCAAAAAGGAACAGAATTAATACATACAGACCAGTGATATTATAGTACTTACAAACAGATGCTGTACGTATCACAGATAGTTACTCTAACAGATGTAAATACAAAGGGCTCTGCAAAAGCTTTGCAAAAAAAATACTGCACTGCAACTTTACATGAAACAAATACAGACTGTGTGGGGAAAGTCATGATACAGGCTGGCTACATATATTACAAAAGTTTGAGGGGAACAGTTAACAGCCTATTAGACCCCCATAATTATTTAGCAAGCACTCTCCCTTTATGCATTTGTTAAATCCTATTTAACTGATGCATCTCTGCTTTTTAGCTTTATAAACCATGTTGCTAGCCATGCAAAAAAAAAAAAAAAACAAACATAAAAACACCAACACCACCCAAAAGGAACTATAGCTACCTAAACAGTGACTAAAACGAGGAGAGTCTTTGAGTGGATATGCATATGATACCTAAGCAGTAACCATAACCAGTTCATTTGTTCTGCTAGATTTTGAGGAGGGAGGACAGTAGGGTGGTTTTTAAAAACCTACAGGTTCTTTAAATTCATATGTTCATTCACTACTTTATATACCTCACAGCCAGTGATTTATTCTTAGATTTCTTTAATATATACCAGTCAACATTTACCATGCTGAGTTGTTTTACTAGAATATAGAAGGTAACATTAACTTTTCCACAGAGCCTGACATGGATGGATGGATAGGGGTTTCCACGTACTAAGTAATTCACTACAGTAAATTGTAAAACCAAAACTTGTATCCCCTGATTAACTTGCTCTAACGCACAAGAAAGTATTTCCCTGGATTTTTCTTCCTCGGGCAGAGAAGCAGCAAAAAAAGGACAACTAGGACAGCAATGGTGAAAAAATATTCTTTCCCTGCTGTACAGATGAACTCAGATCATAGAAGATCAAGGTTATATGGAAGCTACACAATCAAGTAGACTTCAAGGAACTTCTATAAATCCGTAAGATCATCAGAAAACATCATAAAGGGAAACTTGTGTGCTTTCACTACACAATCTGAAATACTGCCCTCATATAGTTAGCCCATGTTTTTATATATGTAATGCTATGCAGTGCTAGAGAATTTTCCATCACACATGCATAATAGTGTGCATAAGTTCAGGAACTGTAGCCTAGCATGTTCTTGTTTTTTGTAATTTTGCCTCAAAAGTAACACTGAATAACTGTTAAAGCTTGCTTGCTCAAAAAAGCAGCAAATTCAGTAAATATTTACTCTTATTCACTAGGCAGTTAAAACATAATAACCAAAAGCTAAGAAAATCTGAGAAGCAACACTGTACAAAGCTTTTGGGATGACAGGGGAAAAGAGCCATATGCCGTCTATAAACTAAAAAAAGTCTCATCAGTATAAGTATATAGAACTGGACTCTACATCAAGCACAACACACTAAATGACCATCTTGTTACTGCACAAGCATCTAGTGGGAACATGTCCACATTTCCATCAGAGCATTTCTATCAAGTCTAAAAAATCCTGATTTACTCAAACAAAATCAGTGTTTTTTTAAACAACTGTATATTCATGGCATAAAATAAGGACAAGGTAGGGCAAGTTACATCAGTTCTGTAAACACTATGCATTTACTAATCTGCATCTATAATTTACTGGTGTGAGAATAACAACTGTGATTGATAAAAAAGTCTTTTTTTTTTTTTTTTAATGTATGAAAAAGGGATTACTTTTAGCCTAAAGACATTATCCCATATTTCCCCTTTAAAATCTGCACAAGACTTCAGCTCTTCTTGCTTGCTCTTGCACCTCAGTTCTCCAACCTGGCCCAGATCCTGACTGGTCATTCCTCCCAGGTTCCCTGTACCGCGGTGGGGACCCTGGGCTATCCAGCTGCAATACTGGGTCTGTGGGTGTTAAGAGTCCGACACAAGAACCTCAGCTCCCTTGAGACAGAAAAAGAAGAGCTCTCCCCAGCTCCCCAGGCAGAAATCCTTCTATTTTACACCTTTTCATAAAAATAAAATAAACTAAAATAATAATAATTAAAAAAAAAAAAAAACAAACCCCAAAACAAATGGCATATCCCTTGCTTGAAGGCAACCTGTTTACAAATAACTAGCATAGCTAGAGCTGCCTGTAGTAGGGTTGAGCCTCATTTGCCCAGTTTTCACCCCTGAAAACACTCAGGGCAGAAGTACAGCCAGGGTAAATTCCTCCTGACTGGCTGAAGCTTACCAAGGCTTTCAGCTGCTAAAAATATGGAAATTTAATGTTCCCCAGTGCATTTTGCTGAGAATTCTGATGTGCTTTGTGAGGAATGGCTAACAATACACTTGTTTCCCCCCCACACACTATGGAGCAGCAAGAAACCGCAATTATTTCAAAGTCTGCAGGCACTTAAATCTGCAGATATGCTTATGCATTATGGGAGGAAAGATCACTAAGCTGAAAAAAGTTTCTCAAGCAAATGTTTCTTAATTGGCAAACACTCTTTTTAAGTGAGTGAGTTGTCAACAGCCTAATAAAACCTGCTGGAACTACACAAACATAATAAACATACAGTTCATCTCCTAAGCCCCAAGCCCTTCCTGCAAAAGCTCTGCAGCCCCATACTTTACACTTCTATGTTGTGCTGTAGTATTAAAATAGCATCTGGAAAAGCAATCTAAACATGCTATGGCCTCAGGGTAGGAAGTCTAATGACAGCTAATCAGGCAGTTTTATTATCTTCTGAAAAGGTTACGTATCTGAAAGATTCTGTTTCTTCAAAGACACTGGCTAAAAAGAAAATGCAGAAAAAATTCACCTCCTATTTAAGTATGCTGCACTCTGCACAAACACCTTGCTCATCTTTAGAAGTCCTGGTTTCACAAGAGCTTTATCTTTTATGAATAAAAATCTTTAAAACCAGAATACAAGGATGATTTTAGTTGATACTTCAAGAAAGCCAGTAAGAAGAGTAAAGAGTTCTAATTTTTCTCATCTCTATTTGGAACGGCCGAAGCAGTATTTAGGAACAGCAGGATAATAAAATGAGCTGAGGAACACAAAAAAATACAGTTATTTAAAACAGGCTAGATCTGTAACTCAATTCTACTAGAAAACTACTATAATACCCTGCCATATGAATTCTACTTATAAACAGATAATAAAAATCTTACCTTTTTCTCCAATATTTGTCATTGTCACTGAAAAATGAGAAAAAAGGAAAGAATAAAAATGATGTTTAAACGATGTAACTGAGTATTTTAAACTTCTGTTTTTCAAACAAAGAGGGAAGAGTAATCATCAAGTCACATAATATCAAGCACTTATGCTGTGTCCATTCATCATAAGAATAGGTAGACAGTGCCAATCACTTATAAGGTTTTTCAACTCCCGCTCCTAGGTTCAGTTCCTGGGAACTATCACCTCCATATACCTCAAGTTGCCCAAGTTTAACCTGAGAAAACTAAAGAACAGTTATTTCTTTAACTGTGGTTATACGGGTTTTATTGTTTATGTATTTTCTGTTCTTCAGGCAGAGGTGTCAAGACTCCAGAACTGGTTTTGCCAGCAATACTCAGTGATAACTTTGATCTCCAAGGCATAAAAATCAGACAGACAAAAGTTGTATTTCCTTTAAGGAACTGCCCACAGATTACAGGATTTGGGGATAGTAAGAGTAAAAAAGGCCCAAGTGTGTCAGGCATGGAGAGAAGTACACAGGTATTATGTATTATATATTCCACTCTTGGTCACATTATTTAACAAAAATAGCCACCCAACAACAGATAGATCAGAAACTCCCAGGTGATCAAAACCTCATGGTGCTCTTCCCTTTCCACCCAAACCACTCCACTGCACATTTATCCATCCCAATTAAGCAGTCTACAAACTGTAATATACTGGCACCTATGACTGTAAGCAAGAGGACAGTAGCTACACAGATCTCTCATCTGCTCTTGTTTTCCCAATAAAAATGGCTGCACAAGGATGGTCTTCAAACAGCAGGCACACGGCTACTCCTACCAAAAGGCCAAGCAGCCATGCCATCCTACTCTGATGTATTAAAATTTGGCTTGTTGATAGAGTGAAAGTTGCTATTTAAATAGAACTTGCACAAAGCACGGATGTACCATGGGACCAGTGCTGCTCAACAACATAACTAATGCTCTGGAAGAGTGAACACTCATCAAGTTTACAGATGACACCATCCTGGGGACACCAGCTGGTACGCTCGTGTGCAGGACTGCCATCCAACACGACCCTTACGTAATTCAGCAAGGGCAAAGGCAAAGTCCTGCACCTGTAAGGGAACAACCCCCTGCATTGACACAGCCTGGGGACTGTGGGGCTGGAGCAGCTCTGTGGAAGAGGCCGTGGGGGTGCTGGTGGGCAGCGACCTGACATTGAGCTGGTAGCACCTGGGCAAGCAGAGAGGGCCACCAGCCTCTGGGGCTGCAGCAGCAGGGACGCGGGCAGTCAGTCAAGGGAAGGGATTATCCCCCTCTACACAGCACTTGGATCATATCCAGAACATTGCCCCCAGCTCTGGCTCCCCAATACAACAAAGATGCAAGTTTAGGGGAGGGTAACCAAGCTGGTAGGGACAGGATCACTCATCCTATGAGCAGAGGCTTGTAAGGAACTGAAGGAATTGATGCCTCAAGCACTCCTCGACCCAGAAAGCCTGAAGAACAAGCTGTGGCCTTTGTGATCAGTCTAAGGAATACTGCGCTGGGAAGCGCCGAGTGTATTGAAGGATGCATGGCTTCACTACCTTGCAGTTACACTGCCAAATTCCTTAGATAAGCCTCAAAGGAGGGAAACATGGGCTGAGTGAAACCATATCTTCAGGTTAAAAGACTGGCAAAAGAAATAAATAACCAGCACCAGAATGACCTAAGCAAAAACTAAGGAAAAAATATGGCAGGAGGGCAGTGAGCATAACCACCAACTGAATTGGACAAAGGGTGTAGCCCATTCCCCCTCAATTCCAGCCTTTCCTCACCTCTCATTGAAATGAGTTCATGGAATACCTGCCTCTCATTGTCTAGTATGCTAATCAGTGATAACTATGAACTTAAAAGGCAACAGAGAACTTTGCTCTGTGTACACCCACCACCCAAGATAACTGGACCTGAGTCAATGCTGAAACCTGGGTGATGAACCAGACTCTTTTCCTCTCTCTCCTTCTGTCCTTTCCTCTCCTTTTCTTTCCTTTCTTATAGATTTATCAATAAGATACCATACTGCTTACTATCCTTTTATAAGTTTAAGTTGTTTCTACCACAGGTAAAACATTTTAACCAGTCGTTTGGTGTTGTTTAATCTTAATTTAGCCCAAGGGGATCACAGAACCTTTACAACTCCCTGGGCTCCCAGTCCGGGTTGTAACAAGGCTGCACAGCCAGGGCTTGTTCAGCCTGGAAAAAACATGGCTTTGGGAGGACCTCACAGGACCTCCAGGGAAGCACTGAGGAGGTAGAGTTGAGCTCTTCATAATGGTGCAGAGTGGGAAGACACAGGCCAGTAAGTATAAATTGAAATGAGAGGATCGGATTTGATACAAGGAAAAAACCATTTCTACCATGGGAACAGTCCACCAGTGGAGCAAGTTGTCCAGACATGTTGTACAGTCTCCACCTCCATAGCTTCTGAAGACAACCAGATAAAACCCTGAACAACATGGTCTGACCTCACACCTAACCCTGCACTAACTAGGAGCTTGGACTAGATAAGCTTAGGTCCTCTCAAACATGAAATATTCCACAATTTCATAATTATACAATAGGTCTATTAGTATGGAAATTTGACTATGGCTCTACTAAAATGAGTGTCTACCTTATCTGAGGGAAAACAGTAAATAACCATGTTTACGGAGTTCTTCACAAAAAACTGAAGGACACCACAGAACTTGCATAAACGACTATAAAGAAGACTCTATTCTGCCCTCAGTGTTCAAATTCAGCTAAGAGAAATCTTTATATCTTAATAAGCTAAATATCCATTTAGACAACTGCTAGATTGAAGCTGAGCAGACACACATACACACTTGAGTCTGAGGAGCAGAGATGTGGCAGTACAAGAACCGTAAAACGGTAGTAAACAGCCATCCACCAGTAAAAAAATAAAAGACATCTTTAGAGCTGATGTGTAATTTAGAAGTGCTGGAGCTCTCAGATTAGGATAAACTAGCCACTATTCAAATTCTGATTTTCTTTTTTCACTTGGTATGGTCAGCAAGGTGTGCAGAAATTTTGCCAGTCTTCTTAGAATAACTACTCTCTGATAATTAAAAAGCCATAGCCAAGTGTATATTGCAGAATCACCAGTTTCAAACTAAAATCTCCTTAACCAACCCTTCACAATGATTTGTTGTATTTTTCTCTCCTAACAAGGGAATGGCATAGAACATTGCTGTGAAAGCAGCTGTCATCTTTTTTTTCCCCTTAACCTTGAATAAACTGTATTAATTAGCATGTTTGAGACTTTTAACTTCTCCACATGTTTGTAAGTAAAGGACCAACACAACTAATAAATCCAAATTTAGTAATTTCTACCCGATGGCAAACCTACAGCTTTTTAAAATTTCTGCCCACCTCCGTGACAAAATGCACTCCTCAGAGTCTGCATGTGCTTGCTGGACTGCTTTTCAGCCTTTGTGATATCTAGCTTTGAAGCCAGTGATCCTGACAGTCAGGAGCTGCAGACCACAAAGGCTAAAACGTAAGTGCCCAAAGATGTCCAGTTAATCCAAGCAGAGTGAGAACCAGGTTTTTTGGATACATCTTGTCATTTTAATCTCTGTTACCACCTGAGTATAACTCAGTGTTATTTCATACACTCCTGAGTTGCAGCCATTGTAAGAGACTGAAGTAGAAGAGTCAAGGCTGAAGAGAGATGACAGTATCTTCAATCTTACCATGCTTTTTCTCCACACTTACTGCAACTGGTGTTTACGAGGAGACTGGCTGTGCTGCTCAACAAACATCCCCTCAGATGCTGACACAGAAGAATACACAAGATATCCAATAACCTGAAGCTTTTCACAAAGTAAAGCACTGCTCCTTATGCTTATGTCTTTTTAAATTACCTTTGAATGGAAGTATAATGTGTGGGAAAGTAATGGACAGGCATCTGCAATACCACAGGACAAGGGAGGAAATAAGGGTTTGGGTTTTTTTTTGCTTTGGTCGTTTTTGGGGTTTTTTTGCACAAATGTGACAGATTTGACCAGCAGGGGTGTAAACAAAAAAAAAAAAAAAAAAAAGGCAAACAAACCACAAACCAAACAACCCACTCTTACAAATCAAACTCTCTCTCAAACTTCTCATAAAAATTAAATTTTCTCTTGTAGAATGACCACAATACAAAGACTTCTTAAGGTAACCATAAGATGCTTATAATTCTAAAATCATACTATGTAAGTGCATGGAAAATCTTTTCTAACATGAAAAAACCCTCTAATTTTGGATTTTTATCAAAGAAACGTTGGCTGTTTTCTCTACCTTCTGAACAGCACACATGATATACTTATTTAAACCAAATTTTATATTTTTTTCAGTAGATTCAGTGATACAAGTTTGCTATCTTATTCAGTAGTATTTGATCATATAGTCTTCTGTGTTTCGTTTATACCAGTCTTTCTAGCAGTTTTCTCATTTCTCTTCCAAGGGTTCATTGCTGGTAATGCACAGAAAAGTAGGTCAGACTGTGCATCCTGTCATTAATAAATATCAGCTTAAATGCGGCAAATTCACTTCCTGGTAGTCAAACAGCACACAAAAAAAAAGGTTAAGAAGCATTTATGCTTACAATGACTAAAATAAATACCAAGGACGCATCAGTCCCAACCATTAAGCAATTTCTACAGTGTGGGAGAAAACAGGGTAAAAACCTTTGAGAAAGGAATGGAATGATACTCCCGTATATTCAGAGACAGAAGTAATTATAAAACCATGACCTGCCTCCCAGAAGTCATTAAAAAGTTACAGCTCTGCCCTCCTGAGATACCGCAGGGGCCAATTTCATTAAGGATCAGCCTTCCACTGCTAAAGTGTCAGGATGCCATTTACAGTTTAGTACGAGCAGACTATCACATAATTAGAAACTCTCTGTTTCATTACACAGCTTGCAGACAGTGCTCATCAGAATTAGGGATCAGGTTGGGACATATGCAGGACTTTGGCCAATGTAGATGCCA